GGGGGGGAGGGCATGAAGTGGGGTGCAGACCCCCCCCAACACACCTTCTCCTCCTCCTCCTCCTCCTCGGAGGGTCTGCACCCCGCATCCCTCCCTGCCTCCCCCCCAGCCCCCGCCACCAACAACCCCGCTCCTCTCTCCCCGCAGAGCACCAGCACGCTCGCTACAACCCGCTGCGGGACGACTGGGTGCTGGTGTCGGCACACCGGGTGAAGCGCCCCTGGCAGGGGCAGCTGGAGAAGCCCCCCTCCGAGGATGTGCCCCGCTGGGACCCCAACAACCCCCTCTGCCCCGGGGCCACCCGGGCCAACGGCGAGGTACCACCCAGCACCCAGGCGCCTGGGGCTCCCCCGCACACTGCTCCGTCCCCCCACCCCCCACCTCCCTGATCCCGTCTTTTCACCCCCGCAGGTGAACCCCCAGTACGAGGGCACCTTTGTCTTCCCAAATGACTTCCCCGCGCTGCAGCCCGATGCTCCCGAGCCTGGTAACATCTGAGAGGAAAGCAAGCTGCTGGGGACCCCCAGGCTCGGGTCCTGGGGGGGGTTGCAAGGTGGCCTGGGGAGGCATGGATGCTGTGCCAGCACCCTCTGCCTCCTCGCTCTCTGTCCTTCCCCAGGTGACAGCGATCACCCCTTGTTTCGAGCTGCAGCAGCCCGGGGTGTGTGGTAAGTACCTCCATGGCTCTGGAGGGTCTGGGCCACGTTGGCGGCCAGGACCCATGGGATGAAGCTGGGTTGAACCTGCTCCCCTGCTTGTGGTCCCTGTTCTGTGCACATCAGCTCTGTTTTGGGGGTCTTATCCTTGTTCCCTGTTCCACTGCACCTGGCAGGGCCATGGGGGTCCCCGGGGACACCCCACAGCCCCGACAACAGTTGTCTCCTCCACAGCAAGGTGATGTGCTTCCACCCCTGGTCGGACCTGACGCTGCCCCTCATGTCCCTGGCGGAGATCCGGGCTGTCATCGATGCGTGGGCAGAGCTGGCGGCCGAGCTGGGTGCTTCCTACCCTTGGGTGCAGGTCCGGGGCTGGTGGGGCTGCTCTTCTCTCCCTGCCCCAGGGGTTTTGGGTGGAGTTGGGGGGGGGCAGGGCTGCGTGCTCTGGCAGCACCCAGGGTTGGGACCATCCTGGTCACGTGTGGGTCCCCTGTCCCCACCTCATGCCCCGCTGAGCCTTTCCAGGTGGTTGTGAGGCTCTGCTCTCCTGTGGGATGCTTTCTTGGTGTGCTGGGGGCACCATGGTAGCCCACAGCAAGGAACCCGGGGCTGGACCTTGCTGACTGCACCTCTTCCTCCGTAGATCTTCGAGAACAAGGGGGCAATGATGGGCTGCTCCAACCCGCATCCCCACTGCCAGGTGAGGCTGTCCCACCCGTGACCTGGCTCTAACCATGTGTCCCTGTGGGTGACCCTACAACAACACACCCGGGGGGGACAATGTGAACGGGAATGCCCCCACCCTGGTCCCAAATCTTTCTGCCGAGAAGAGCCCCTCATGCCTGTCCTGTCACCTTCCCCTGGGGGAGACTGTCCCTTGTGGCTGCCACACGTTGGACTCTCCACCTGGTGGCAGCACGGTCCTGCACATGGGCTGCATGGCTGGGGCACCCCCGAAAATGATGGGTAGAGGTAACCCAGCCCCATGTGTCCCCCCCAACCCCAGGTGTGGGCCAGCAGCTTCCTCCCCAACGAGGCGTGCCTAGAGGACCGGACGCAGCGGCAGCACCTGAGCCAGCACGGTGTGCCCATGCTGGTGGAGTACGCTGAGCAGGAGGCTCGCCGGAAGGTGAGGACGTGCTTGTTGTCCATGTCCCCTTTCCTGGGAGATGGATATGCAGGGCCCCTGGGAGCGCCCATCCCCTGGGCGTCAGGGCTGTGGGCATCCCCATTGAGCACCCTGTCCTGCAGGAGCGCCTGGTTGTGGAGAACGCGGACTGGATAGTCGTGGTGCCCTACTGGGCCACCTGGCCCTACCAGACCCTGCTGCTACCCCGCCGCCACATCTGCCGCCTCCAGGACCTCCGTGACAGCGAGAGGGACAGTGAGTGGCTCCGCACCCCATCAGTCCCCATCCCGCATCCTTTGGGGTCGGCTTTCCTGGTGGCAGCCTTGCTGGTCCTGGGGGGTCTGTGTCCCCTCGGAGTGTGGGGCTTCCAGGCTCAGCTTGTGGGGGGACTGTCACCCCTGTTACGCCAGAACAAGCACTGGGTGTCCAGGCACAGGCAGTACTGGTGGGGGGAATAATGTCCCAGTGCTCACAGGTGACAGGACTAGAGTAAAATGGCCTCAAGTTGCGCCTGGGGTGCTTCAGGTTGGATATTAGGAAAAATTTTTACATGGAAAAGGTTATCCAGCATTGGAATGGGCTGCCCAGGGAAGATGTTGGGGCACCATCCCTGGAGGTGTTCAAAAGACAGGTTGACATGGTGCTGGGGGGCATGGTTTAATGATGTGTTTTTTTTTTGTCAGAGTTAGTTTAATGGTTGGACTAGATGATCTTAAAGGTCCCTTCCAACCTAGATGATTCTATGATTCCTTTTTGGGGTGATGAAGCACATGGCGCCCCATATTTTTGGGGTGTTACCTGATGAGGAGTGGGGGCTGTCTGTGTGTCTGGGGAGGGAGGGAACTGCCAAGCGCATCCCTTCTGCCTGTCATTGATGTCCGCCAGGGGAGGGGTGTTGGGGGTGACACCCCCCCAGGCCCAGGGGGCTGGCCAGCTCGGGGTGTGACTCCCTGGCTCTCCCCTGCAGGCCTGGCCTCCATCATGCAGAGACTGCTCATCAAGTACGACAACCTCTTTGAAATCTCCTTCCCCTACTCCATGGGCTGGCATGGTGAGTGGCGTGAGGGGGGACCTCCGCAACCCTCTTATCCGTGTCACATCCCCTCCTGGGGGCTCATGCAGTGGTTGCACCCCCGTCAGGAGCCCCCACGGGCCCCTACCTGGAGAAGGACTGTGGACACTGGCAGCTCCATGCCCACTACTACCCCCCGCTGCTCCGCTCCGCCACCGTCCGCAAGTTCATGGTGGGCTACGAGATGCTGGCGCAGGCCCAGCGGGACCTCACCCCGGAGCAGGTGAGGACAGCTTGTGGGGGGGTGTTTGTGGGGACCCAGGGGGTCCTGTGCGAGGGCCATCCCTGGGACCATCCGCTGGCTGCCCCTCGTGCTGTACCTTGCAGGCAGCTGAGCGCCTGAGGAGCCTCCCAGAGGTGCACTACAAGCAGAGGTCCAAGGAGATGTGATGGGGAGCGGTGGAGCTGGCTCTCTTGACTGTGCTGGGTGAGGTCCAGGGAGAGGAGTCAGCTGGGGGGGTGGCGAGAGCTGAGGCCTGGGAACTCATGTCACTTGTGAGCCCGCTGTTCTCTCAGCTTCTCCTGAGCCTCGTCATTAATTGGCCCTGGCTGGGGACTAGTTTTGCCTGTTCAGGTATCCCAACCCTAATCCTGTGGTATCCTTGTGCAGGTGGTGCGGTGCCTTCTGTCTCCTTCCCCTTCCCAGACTGTGTCATCCACCTCCGCAGCGTGCTCCTACCACCACTAAAGGGCTTACCATTCTCACCAGTCCCGTCTTACTGGTGGGACTGGGAGTGCTGCCTGGACCGTGGAGGGGCACAGCCTCCCTGAGAAATAAAATCTGGAAGCAAAGTGCCTGTGCCCTCGTGGCTCTCGGCCCTGGATGGGAGGTTTGGGGTCTCTGCTGAGGACCCCCAGCTGGTGTGGGGGGATAACCCCGGGGTGTGCTGGCAGCCCCGTGCTGCTTGCTGCTGTCCCTGCCTCTGCGTTGCCTCCTCTTCCTCCCTGGGGGGAGCTCTGAGCCCGTCTCTGAGCACTGCAGGCTCAGGGAGGAATGGGAAGCAGGGAGGAGTTGATGCTGCCTGAGCCTTAGCCGGCTCCTGGGAGAGGGCTGAGGCCTGGCAAACTCACTGCGTGGAGGCTGGGGATGCCTGACCATGGCTCACACCACTGCTCTTCTTCCTCCTCCCTGCCTGAGGCTGGTGGGCTGCAGCCCTCATCCTGCCTGCTGTGGGTAGGGGGGCTGCCAGGATGCAAGAAGGGGCTGGCTCATCACTAGCCCAGGGGCTTCCAGGGGGTCCAGCTCTGCTCATGGTGCTGCTGACTCCTTTCCCCTTCCCTGTGCCCACCCGTGGGGTGGGACAGCAACAGACCAGTCCGCTGTGCTGAGCTGAGGGATGCTGGAACCAGCTCTGTCCTCTCCCTCACTGCATCCCCTTCCCCTACGGAAGCCTTGGGGCCGTGCAGGGGTAGATCTTGGACAGTGATGCCCCACAGCTGACGTGGGGGGATGCCCAGAGCCATCTGCCATCACTGTCGTTGCACAAAGAGTTTTTATTTGTCACTGAAGAGTCATTCTCATAACTCCTTAATGAGGCCCCTGTCCTTGTCAAGTCTGTGAGTGGGCTCCTGGGGGCTAGAAAAACCTTGCCAGGAGACAAATGCTCTCCTCCTACCTACATGACAGCAGTTTGTGGGGAGGGCTGTGCCCCCCCTGCCCCATCTGTGGATTGCTCCCCCATCCCTACCCATTGGGGCAGGGAGAAGTGCTCAGCCAGCGTGAGGCTCAGAACCAGGCTGGATAGAGCTCTTCTGCATGCTGGCCCTCCCTAATCAACTCATGCCAGAGTCCACAAGCCATCCCACCACCCAACTTCAGGTTCCCACGTGTTCTGGGGAGGAGGCAGTGGGTTTTGGAGTGACCCTTGAGTTTGGAGCCATCATTGTACACAGCATCCCCCCTACATGGCATGGTGGGGGGTGGCCAGCTCAGAGTCTGGCCCCTTCCAAGCTGATTTCTTCCTTCGTGGGACAATCAGTGTCCACCTGGGCTCTGTGGCCATCCCCATCACAGCCCCCATCCCTCCTCATGGCAACAAGTGCCTTCACACCAACCTCCGGACTTCCCCCGCTCTTCCCCAAGGGCCCTGGCAAAGCGGCAACAAATTGGCTTAAATGCGGGAATCCAGATTGGGGTAATTAGCCGCTGAACCGGTTGTAACGAAGCTAGTCATCTCCCTGCACGCGCAGTTAGCTCTGATTTAATAGCCCACCGGCTCCCAGCCTGGGCTGTAGCACCTCGGCCCGGGGCCGTAAATGAAACTCGCAGTAAAGTCAAGCGGTATTAAACTTTACAGTCGCCGTTCTTTAAAAATGAGGCTCTCTCCCTCATAAATCAGAGCAAGTGGGATTGTAAATATCGAGGCAGGATCCATATTGCTTAATTAAACAGCGCCTAATGAACAGCCTGTTTGTTGTGTTGTGATTTAGGATGGAGGCTGGGGAAGCGGCGCGTGCCGAGGAGCCCTGATGCCCATGCCGGGATGCCCTCCCCAGCAGGGAGCTGGAGCTGGAGTTTAGCTGCTGCCAAAATAGCTCAGAGACAGCCTGAGTATTACTTTTTTTTTTTTTTTTTTTTTTTTTTTTAATAAGAATTAATTCCCCCCCCCCCAAAAAAAAACATCTGAAACATTCAGGGTGGAAGTCAGCAGCAGGTGGAGGGGGGAACAGAGGGCACGGCTGGGTGTGAGAGCTGGACCCTGGCTTCACTGAGTCCCCCCATCCCCATTTCTTTTACCTTTTGCCCCAGTATTTTTAGTGTGTGTGAGGGGGTGTGAAAGGATGGAAGGGGGCAGTGAGGCTTTTCTGTGGCATGGAAAGGTGTCGGGCTGGTGCAAAGGGATCTGCTGGGGATGCAAAGGCATTGCAATTACATAGGAACTGCGGCTGCCCTGCCGTAAAGCCCTGAAACCTTTTATATTTTGGTAGTTACAGTCCAGTTGTAATCAAAAAGTGATTTATGGCGAGGAGATTAAAAAAGGCTAGCTGGGTGCGGGATGATGGAGTGGAGAGGGCTGCAGGGCACCTGGCCGTTGTTCCTGACCTGGGAGCACTGAAGGGAAACTGAGACCCGTTGGGATTCCCTGTAGGGGTGTGCCTTGATGTCCTTTCACTTCTGCAAGACATCTGTGGGACATCATCCTGGGAAAAGTGTCCTGGCAATGGAGTCACCCTTGTCCTGAACCCCTGTCCCCCAGCATCAGGGCAAATACATCCTCCACAATCCCTGCCCTGAGCTGCTCTGGAAGGACGAGCAGGGCAGGTGATGTGGGGAGCGAGGAGAGCTGAGAGGAAGCTCAAGGGTGGAGTTAATGCATTAGAATCATAGAATCATTTAGGTTGGAAAAGACCTTTGGGATTATCAAGTCCAACCATCTACCCTACCCTACAGAGTTTTCCCCTACACCATATCCTCCAAACCCACATCGAAATGGATCTTAAACACATCCAGGGATGGTGACTCAACCACCTCCCTGGGCAGCCTATTCCAATGCCCAAACACTCTTTTTGTGTAAAATTACTCCTAATGTTCAGTCTAAACCTACCCTGTTGGAGCTCGAAGCCATTCCCTCTCGTTCTGTCACTAATTACCTGCGAGAAGAGACCATCACCATTAAAAACACATTGAGGTCCCATGGATCCGTTTGCTCCTTCTATGGGACATTAATAGGGCTGTGGGGGATTAGGAAAGGGTCACGGTGCTTCTGTGCCCAGCACATCCTGTGCTCTGCAAGGAGCAAGGCATAAGCCCATCAGGGAACGTGGAGATGCTTGAGGGGGGATGGCCAGGGATTTAGTTTCATTTCCATCCTGTTTTCTGATGTCACTGAAACAAATGGGTCGGGCTACCAAGGGATGTGTTTTCCCCAGGGCTTTGGCTCAACTCAGACAAACCAACGTGCTCGTTTGGGTTGTAGCAGTGCCTGTCTGCATCGTCACCCCTGTCCCGCGTGTTTGGGGGACCCAGAGCATCCCCAGCTCTGACTCTGATGCCTTCTGCAGCCATGGGTAAGTCCTGGGATGCTACTCTGGGATGCTGCCCTAGTCTGCGGAGTCCCTTTGGCACGAGCACTCAGTGATGGAGGGTAACTACTGGAGGCACGTTCTTCACCTTGGATGATGTGTCCCTGTCCCAGGCAGCTGCCAAAGGCTGCGGAGCTGCAGACCTGCTGCAGATCCCAAGTCCCCCATCCTGCCCACCCTTTTTCCTCTCCTCCCTGCCTTCCAGCGCAGGTGAGACAATAAATATTGAGCTAAGGAAGTTAATCTGTGACCAGAGTGTTTTAATCAGGAAAAAAAAAAAAAAGGGTATTAGTGCAGGCCTGCTGGCTCCTGCCAAACTGCAGTTTTACTGTCCCTCCTGGTACTGGGTTTATGGCTGTCATTTCACTCCAGTTTTACTGTTGTTTTTGCCCTTATCGTTGAATTTCTCCTTGCCTGCTGCTGCCTGTGACTGAATGGGGCTTTTAGGAACGTAATAAGGAAGAAATTAGTAAATTTTTAGGGAGGTAGAAGGGAAGCAAGGGAGGGAGGCAGGGAGGAAGAGTGGAAGGAAGGGTGAAAGGAAAGAAATGGAGGGAGGAAGAGAGACAGAGAGAGGAGGGAGGAAAACAGGGAGGGAGGGAAGGCTAAATCGCTCCCATTTCTATCTAAAAGACACCATCAGGCACTTAACATGAAAACAATTAAAAATTTTAAGCAGATGCTAAACACCCTGGTGCCCTGCAGCAGGCAGCTCTGTGCTGCGGGGAGATCTGCTATGCCAGGAGAATGAAAAACAAAACCCAAACCTTTTTTAGATCTTGGCTTAGACGGACATATAGGAGCATGGGAGCAACCTCTGGGGCAGCAAACAGCACCCAGCTTGTCCCACACGGCCTGGACCATCTCCCCCAGGCTCGGCAGCTGTCCCGGCAGGGACTTTCCAAAGGGCTGAGAGCAGCAGGAAACAATTTTGGAGGTGACTTAGCCATGCCTCAGACAGCTGGTGTTTTTTCCTCTGCTGACGGTCACTGAGACCTCCCTGCAAGGCATTTTCAGAGCCCTCGGAGACCATGTGTCGTGGGAGGGCTGCTGGTCCCAGGTGGACAGGATGGAATGTCTGGATGCTGCCTGCCAGCAGCAGAAAGTCAGGAGCTCTGCGTGGGCTTTAGGACAGCAGCCCCGGGGGTGGAATTTGGTTTGTTAATCATCTAAGATATACAGGTAATGAGATACTATCACAGTGCAGCATCCAAGTGGTCACTAAGCAGTGGATTTCCCCAGCTCCCCTGAAATTTCCTGCATGCCCAGGGTTGGGAGGTTCGTTGGGGCACGGCTCTCAGTAATGGGCATCTGCCATTGCATGTAGTTTTGAGCTTTTGTCCCATCCTGAGACCCCATCCTGGGGTCAGGGGCCTCTGTTTAGAATGAGAGGAACCCCAGGACAGTCCAGATTCCCCCTGGATTCACCCCAAATACAGTTAGCTGGGGAAGGGAGGGTATCAGGCATGGATGGGAGAGCAGGGGCTGGTCTGAGCTAAGGCCAGCTGACACGCTCGACTGCAAAAGGGGGTTTGTCCACTAATTGGTGAGATGCTGGGAGAAGGCAGGAGCCCTTGCAGTGCCCAGGACCAGTATCAAATCCAGCTGGCTCCTGGCATGGCCAAGATTGGGCACTCCAGCTGTGCCTGGCAGCCCCCTGCTGCTGGAGCCAGCTGTGAGAGCTCACAAACATCTGTGCCCGCCCGTGGCCACTGAGAAGAAGGGATCCCCCTTCGTCATGATGTTCCAGAGAAGGAAGCCGTAAATTATGGCTAATTATGTTCAGTGATGCTGAGGAGTCAGTAACAAAGCCCTGGGAGCAGGGAGGCATCGCGACTCCAGGATGGATCTGGGGCAGAAAGTCACCTCCCGGAGTTCACTGAGGCTGGAGGTGACAAGGGCAGAGGCAGAGCCCTCGGGAGAGCGGAGGGGGTGGAGAAATTCTAATGAGATGCTAATGAGGAAGCAATTAGTAGGTCCTCAGCCTGCCTGGTGCCCTCAGGCTCCCTTGCCCAACCCCAAGCCCAGCCACCTGCCCTGGGTTCACCCGGGGTGGGTGAAGCCCTGCGGGGTACAGCCAGCGCTGCGAGGAGCCAGGCGCTGCCCCCCGCGCACCCCGCCACGCTGGTCTGCAGTGAAACATCCTCATAAATTACCTCAGCAAAACAAAGCACAGCAGATAAAAGTCAAAAGTGCATTTGCAGCCTGTTTGCTTTCTGGTGTTTAATCCCCCGCTTTGTTTTGCTTACCATTGTCCATAACTCACGGCAGCTTGTCTGCTCCCTGCTGGTTACGTGTTTGGGATGGGAGGCAGGACTCCTGGGCAAGTGTTGTCCCTGTGGGCAAGTCACTGCCCTTCCTTGTGCCTCAGTTTCCCCTTGGCTTGAGTAGGGTCAGTAACACAGAGGTTAGACCCTGTCCACCTCGGCTGACCAGGCAGTGGGACCACCCTGCTCCAAGCTCCATCAGATCTACAGATGCTCCTGGGCTGTACGAGGAGCACTGTGACACCCTCGCAGTGCCTCTGGCTTGGACCTGGCCCCATCCCACCTGGCACGGGTCTTGTGGATACAAGGAAAACCTTTCTCTTCGTATCCCTGCCTCCCCGAGGAGATGCTGCCCAGCAGACCCCTGGGTTTGTGCACCCAGGCTGCCAGTGCGATGTTTAATTCACACAATAAAAAGTCTTTATATTAAATCTAATTTAATTTTAAAGAATAAAAATTGAATTATCACATGGGTGAGAAACAAGAGGGAGAAGGAAGCCAGCGTGGGTACCCAGCATGCCAGCTTCCTTTTTAACCCTTCCCATCCCACTTTCGAATTCCCCTGGGGGCTCAGAGATGCTCAAAAAGCATCTGGTCGGTTCCAGCTGCTTCCAGCTCGCTTCGGTAACAGCAGGACCCCACTTCGTTGCAGCTCAGCAGGCCCCCTCAGAAGTGGCTGATACATTGGCATGAGAGGAAAGAAATGACCCCCAGCCTCTGCTGGGCCCTAAAATTTCCACACCGCCCTCCCCAAGGACTAGCCGTCACATTGGGGACTTGGAATGATTATGATAAAACCTGCGGGACACCAAGGGCATCACTATGATTTGTGCTGTCTAAATGTTAATCAGAATAATAATGCCTATTGAGACAGCTGTTTTAAAAGGCTGTGATGTCGGAATAAAAATTCCAATAAAACTCTATTAGCCCTTCCTCGTTACACTAATGGTGCCTGCTGCTAAAAGCCCCCTGCTATAGACACCCGTATTAATGGGCTTATTACAGGAAATAAAATCCGAGGCTGAACATTACAGTGAAGCCTGATTAATTCAGCAAGGTAATCTTTTTTTTCTTCCCCCTCCTCTCTCCCTTTTCTTTTTCTCCCCCCCTTTATT